GTTCCACTAGCCCCGTAGGGTGGCAACGTCGCCGGGCGGGAATCATACTATTCTTGAGTCGGGCCTGTCCCCTGCAGGGGGATTCTGGACGACAAAAAGAAAGAATAGTCAAACCATACTCCACAATGGTAAAAAATACGCAGAAAATAGTCTCCCGATTATTTTTTGACTATCTTTGAATATTCCTCCTGTAGAGGGACAGGCCCGACTTAATACTATTCCAATGTACTCGCCACGTGGCAATGCGGAACAGAACACGCGAGCTGCCATCATCGTTGTCAACATGGGCATCGGCATTGTCTTCGTCATCGCTATCGTCAACGTGGGCTAGACGCCTTCGAACGGGTTCTTCCGGGACGACTTCCTCTGGGACGACTTCCTCCGGGACGAATTCATCCAGGACAATTCTTCCGGGGCGAATTCTTCCGAATCGAGACCATCCCGAACGACTTGTTCCAGACGAGATTTTCCAGGACGAATTCATCTGGAACTGCTTTTTTGGGAACCACTTCATCCGAAACAAACTCTTCCAAGACGAGTTCCTCTGGATCGAATGAATCTAAAACAATGTATTACATACGAGCCCTTCCGGATGAATTCCTCTAAGCCTAGATCTTCCTCAGACCAATCGACCATCCGCAACACATTCCTGAACAGACAAAGTCATCCGAACGAATTGATCCAGACGAAAGCATCCGGAGACAAAGACATCCAGAGACGAATTCACCAACAAACAAATTCACGCCGACGAATTCATCCGGACAACTTCACCTGGACGAGTGAATGTTCTTCCGGATGAGCACGTCACGGATGAAATCGTTCAGGATGAACTGGTCGTCGAGGATGAACTGGTCGTCTTCCCCCCAAAACGAACATCTAAATACTCGGGTCCCTTCTCCTTTGCTATCGCTGCTGGTGCTGCTCTTTACCTTAGCCTCTCGACTCGAGGACACGCCTGCACATCTGGGATCACCATGTTCATCACGGATGAAGTGTCCTGGCGTGTCGTGGACCGTGAACTGAGATAGGCAACAGATAGGCAGAGAGGACCGGAAACGGGCTGAATCAGGGGGTGAATGCACAAGGGAAGAAGAACATGGAGGGACCATCAGAGGGAGGTCAGGGAAGAATGGGGAGGAAGGGTGGGCGTGGTCTCATCTCGAGACAGACCGTCCGTCGTCCTCCCCGTCGTCCCCCGTCGGTCTCTCCTCCCCCCTCTCCTCCCAAACCTCCCTCCATTCTCTCCAACCCCCTCCTCCTCCTCCTCCCTCCCACCTCTCCCCCTCCCCCCATCCCCCTCCCCCTCCTCCTCCTCCTCCTCCTCCTCCTCCTCCTCCTCCTCCTCCTCCTCCTCCTCCTCCTCCTCCTTCACAAAGGGGCAACGACAGGGTGGGGGACTGGCTCAGGGGGGGCTGAGTATCGACGTGGAATCGGCAAACCATCGCCGATGTATCTGCGACATGCCGACGATAGCGAATCCGAGCGTTCCTGGGCGAGGTGGGGCTATCAGACCCGTATCGATGATCCGAGGGCGATTAGGGGTCGATGCGTTCCCCCCTGATGCTCAACCCAGAGGACAAACAGCTGCATAAACAGAACCTTCGGCTCTCGGCGCGGATTTCTTGGATCTGCGCTGGGCCTTCCTCCTTGGCGCGCGGAGCGCGGGGGGGCCAAGGCGCCGATCCAAAGAACCCGCGCGGAGAGCCACAAGTTCGTGTCTCTGTGTTTGTTTTCTTCTTCGGCCTGAGGCTGTCCCCCCCCTGCCCATCGGTCGGAAGCAGTAGGCAGAAGCATGGAGGAGGAAGGCGTTGAGAGTAGATGGGGTGTCCGCCCGCCCCCCAAGGAGGCCTGGACGCACTCCTCCCCCTCCTCCTCCTCCTCCTCCCCCTCCTCCTCCTCCTCCTCCTCCTCCTCCTCCTCCTCCACTTTCCTCCTCCTCCTCCTCCTCCTCCTCCTCCTCCTCCTCCTCCTCCTCCTCCTCCTCCCCTCCTCCTCCTCCTCCCTCCCCCTCCTCCTCCTCCTCCTCCTCCTCCTCCTCCTCCTCCTCCTCCTCCTCCTCCTCCTCCTCCTCCTCCTCCTGCCAGGACGATCCTTGACGCAGCACGGCGCGCCCCTCCCCCTGCCAGCGGGTACTCCCACGCCCAGGGGCGCGGCCCCTGCCCCACCCACGCCAAAGGGGGACCACCACCACACGCACGGGTGTTTGCTTGCCCTTGGCCGGCGGCGCCTCGGTCTGCGTCCACGCCTGGTCCCTCTGGTTCTCCTCCTCCTCCTCCTCCTCCTCCTCCGCTTCCTCCTCCTCCACCTCCTCCTCCTCCTCCTCCTCCTCTCCGCCTCCTCCTCCTCCGCCTCCTCCTCCACCTCCTCCTCCTCCCGGTGTGCCCCCCTTGCCCTTCTCGCCCTGCTCCTCCCCCCTGCTCGCTTCCCCCCCTCCTCCCCCCGCCTCGGTCTCTCGTCCTCCTCTTCGCCCCCACCCCCCGCGGCCCCGCTCCTTCTCCTCATCTCCCTCCTCCTCCTCCTCCTCCTCCCTCCTCCTCCTCCTCCTCCTCCTTCTGTGCTTCCGTTTCCCCCTCCTTCCGCCCTGCCCCTCTCCGCCTCCTCCTTCTCCTCCTCCTCCTCCTCCTCCTCCTCCTCCTCATCATCATCATTTGTTTTCCTTATAGATGTCTCTTCTCCCTGTCGCACCCCGAGGTCAGTGTTTAGGGCGGGCATGGCGTTTCGCTTCAGACTTCCTCACCATTTATGAATCTGAAGCTTGAAAATAGGCAACGGTCGCACAGATGGAAGGCGGATGGTTCTCAGAATGTGGCTCTCGCCTTAGCGAGGCGCACATTCGTTCTAAAAACATGCAAGGGTTTCACGGATTGAGGGCGGGTGGTTTTCAAATTGTGGCTCTCGCCTTAGCGCGGCGCACATTCGTTTTAAGCATTTGCAAGAGTTTCACGGATTGAGGGCGGGCCGTTTTTTTTTAATTTGGCTCTCGCCTTAGCGCGGCGCACATTCGTTGTACAAAAATAAGAAGAATTTCACGGATTGAGGGCGGGTCGTTTTCAGAATGTGGCTCTCGCCTGAGCGCGGCGCACATTCGTTTTAAACATTTGCAAGGGGTTCGCGGATTGAGGGCGGGTGATTTTCAAAATGTGGCTCTCGCCCTAGCGCGGCGCACATTCGTTTACAAAAACTTGCAAGAGTTTCACGGCTTGCCATCATCAACGTACCAGAAATGATGTTGAAAAGATTCAGGAGTACGCGGGCGCAACAATTACGTTGATTCGCTGTGTTGAAGTCCCAAGAGTGGCATTCTGTCGTGTTGCCGTGTCGCTGCCGCTGTTGTCTGCTAACTTGGGAGTGGCTTAGTCAACTGGGTGCCAACTCGGCCGAAAAGCGCGCCAAGAGCGCACGCCAATGGCGGTCAAGCCCTTTTTGAAGAATTCCGGAAGCCAATGCTGCCACAAGATGGGCCTACCAAATTCCGTTATTCACTGAGAGACGAAAGAAGACTCGGCTTCGGGGGACTCAGGTTGGCCTGACGGGGCCATCATGAAAATGACGAGACCCAATCTGACATTTGACGCGAACTCCCGCTGCAGACTCCCACGGAATCTGGACCGTCAAAATCCAGGACGCGTTCGTCAAGAAATGTCGGCAAGCCCGAGTTCCAGCGTACTCGAGTCTTACGTGTCCCCGGTGATCGGGGGTGAACAAATCTAGGCGACGAGAAAGGGCGGGCCTTCTCAGAAGGCTCGAAGTCCCTGGGTCTTCTGAGACGTGTTCGAAGACTTACTTCCCCGAAGACACGAGAAGCTTCTCAGAAGGCGCGAGGGCTTCAGACAACTCCCGCCGCCTTCTGAGAAGACCTTCTCCGTCTCACTTCTCCCCCAAGAGAGCCCAGAATCGAATCGACAAGTCGGATCGGCAATCGGCATGAATCGGATCGACGGACATCGGCAGCCGATGCGGGAAAAGTCAAACTGGCAGACACTGGCAAACCAATACGCCTCCATTGAGAAACCGGATCCCACATCGGAATCCGACGTCGAATCGAATCGGAATCGGAAACCGTCGAAATCGAATCGAATCGATTCGGAGGAACCGAACGAGCGCTGCCCCCCCGCTCGCCGCCGAAACACCCCCTTTGGCAGAAAGACACCGTGGGCACGACCCGGCAGCAGCAACAGATCGGCGGGCGCAAAACGGCAGAGACACTGCGGCCGCCACGCCCTCCCGAGAACACAAAGAGGGCCATTTGCCAATCGGCCTGGCGAGGTGGGAGGAGGAGGAGGAGGAGGATGAGGAGGACGAGGAGGAGGAGCAGGATGAGGAGGAGGAGGAGGAGGAGTTTATCATAAGGACGCACGATAAGGATGCAGGGGCCTTGGAAGGCCATCTCGAAGCTTGTCGAGCGGGGCGCTGTCAACGAGAGTGGCCAAGGCTGGGCCGAGGAGGGAAAGATGCAAGGGGTTCCTTGGGAAGGTTGCCCATTCAAGCCATGCGGGTTGACTGTATCGACCTCTGGATGATGGAGCAACTTCTGGCCATCGCTCGGACGCCCATTCCCTGTGCTCGTTTCGGTTTCGTGCGTGGCTTTTTCGCCACATGACCAAGGATGCTCATCCATGGTCCTCGCCGAAGGAAAAATGCACACGTCCGAGCGATGCCGAGACTTCTGGAGCAACTGGCAACTGGCAGCTGGCTCCGCGTGCGCGGCGCCACGGAAGCGCAGCGGAGGAGGCGCCGAGGCGCCGGTAAACGACAGCACGGGGTGAATCCAATGACGAGCAAAAAAAGAAGGAGAGAAAGGAGGAGGAAGAGGAGGAGGAGGAGGAGGAGGAGGAGGAGGAGGAGAAGGAGGAGGAGAAGGAGGAGGAGAGGGAGGAGGGGGAGGGGATGAGGGGGAGGGGGAGGGGGGGAGGAGGAGGAGGAGGAGGAGGAGGAGGAGGAGGAGGAGGAGGAGGAGAGCAGCGGAGAGCAGCGGCAGGACGTCGCGTCGGCCAGGCCAACTAGACGCAGCACAGGCGGCCAGGGGGCCGCAGCCTCAGGGGAGGCCAGTGATGCCGATCACGTCGACGGACGCGAAGGGCGGCGCGCTGGGGCCAGACCGCCGCGCAGCGCCTTGCGGCGAGCCGCTGGGGCCAGAACGCCACGCAGCGGCTGCCCGTGCCAGGAGAGGCCGACCCTCAACCACTTCTCCGTCGCCTCCTGCGTCCCGCATTCCACGGCACCGAAGGCGCTCTGAGCGGGCCAATGGGCGGTGGCTGCCCTTCCCGCCGCAGCTCGGCCAGCCACGTCCGCAGGCACACGTAGTCGTAGCGCCGCATGCAGTCCGACACGATCCTCTGCGACCGCGTCAGCGTGTGGCGCCACCTGTAGTAGGCCCGCCTCGCGGGCATGCCAGTCCCCCAGGCCCGCTCGCAGATCTCCTCGGCCATCTCCTCGGCCGTCCTCCCACGCGCCCGCAGCCTGGTGGCGAAGCGCGGCTGGGACAGGATCTGCGTGACGTAGCCGACGCAGTGGTCGAGCCACTCGCTGTAGCACTCCATCGTCTCGCCGACCTCGGGAGCCTGGGTCCAGTACCGCGCCCATCCAGCGACCTGCAGCTCAAGCCTGGGCGCGACGCTGCGCCTCGGCTGCGCTGGCTCAGGCCGAGCCACCGCAACTCTGCCAGCACTCAGGGCGGGGCCGCACACACGGTCGGCACTTGCAGGTCCCCTGCCACCCCTGGTGCTGGCCATGCACATGCCGTCGCGGTCCGCGTCGCTTCCTGGGCTCAGGGCGGGGCCGCACTCACGCACGCACATTGCAGGTCCCCTGCCACCCCTGGCCCAGGCCGTAATCCGTCGCCGCTCGGGGTGGGTGCTGGTGCTCAGGGCGGGGCCGCACTCAGGACCGCAAACTGCAGGTCCCCTGCCACCCCTGGCACCAGCCGTAGCTGCACGTGGACACGCCTCCCCAGAAGCCAGCTGCGGCTGCCGCTGGTCCTCCTCAGGCGACGCCGCTTCCAGAGACCCGCTGCCAGTGCCCAGGGCGGGGCCGCACACAGGACTGCACTTTGCAGGTCCCCTGCCACCCCTGGCGCTGGCCATACCCTTGCCGTCGCGGTCCTCGTCGCATCCTGGGCTCAGGGCGGGGCCGCACTCACGCACGCACATTGCAGGTCCCCTGCCACCCCTGGCCCAGGCCGTAAATCGTCGCCGCACGCGGTGGGCCTGGCTGCCGTCGCCGCCAGTGCCCAAGGTGGGGCCGCACTCAGGGTCGCGGCTTGCAGGCCTCCTGCCACCCTTGTCACTGGCCATGCCTGGCAGCGCCCGCTGCGAGTTGTCAGACCTGCCAGCACTCAGGGCGGGGCCGCATTCGCGACCGCACTTTGCAGGTCCCCTGCCACCCCTGGTGCTGGCCATATCGGTAGTCGAGAACGGCTGCGGCGGGCTGCTCATGTCCTGAGGGCTGGTCACGGCGCCCTCCTGGTGGTCCGTGGTCAGCGTCACCTCGTGTGCCAGGTCACACCTCAAGGGCGCAGGCAGCCGCGACGGCCCCGCCGCCAGACAGGCATCGACCACCCCCACGTCTGGGGCAGCTGGCGGCGGCTGGAGCGTCACCAGTCCAGTGGTGCCCCCGTCGGGGCATTGGTGCGCTCCATAGGCCGAGGGCAAGCTGCCGTCGGCCATGTCTCCCTCATCACGCTGCGCGCCGCTGGCGGCTGCTGGACCACGTTCGGCTAGCAGATGCTGCTGCCTTCGCTGCATCCGTTCCAGGAGCTCCTGCCGTCGCACCCGCCAAGCAGGCTTCTTGGTCTGGACTGCGTCGGAACCTCCAGCCCCTGCAGGCACCTCGCGCGTCTCGTGGTCCTGGCCAGGCCTGGTCGCCTCGCCCTGTTCCTTCTGCGCGTGCCTGCCGCTTGGCCGCTCTGCAGCGCCGTCGCCCCCAGAGGCCATGTCGCCCGCGGCCGCGCTGGCCGCCGCTGTGGCCCATGTTCTGGGGCCGTCTGGAGCCTCGCCTGCACCTCCCCAAGTGAGCACCTTTCCTGTCTTGGGGTGCAGCCCTTGGCTGAGCTTCTTGAGCCGCGCCCTGAGGTTGGACAGGTAGGTGCGCTGGTTCTTGCCCTCGGCGCTGGGCGGGCCAGCGCAGGGCGCAGCCAGGGCCAGTGAGGAGCCTGTCGCCGCCCACGCCACGCATACCTCGCAGTAGATGGTGGGCCCTGCGCGCCTCAGCCTGTGCCCCTGCATCTCGATGGTGCCGTCCCCTGAGCCCCAGGGGGCAGGCTCGGCTGGCCTGGGCCCCGCATCTTCGGGGCACGCCGCGCGCTCGATCGCCTGCATAGCGAACTCGCCCGCCTCCGAGACCACAATGGGCTGCGCGCCGACGTGCGCGATGATGGCCTCGGCCCGCAGCGCGGTGTACTGGCTGGCCTCGCAAGCTGAACGCGCGAACTGCGTCCATGTGGGCCCCGTCTGCCCGCTGGTCTGCCTGCAGCAAGCGCGGCGCAGCACCACCGCCGTCCCGTTCAGGCGAACCAGGGAGTGGCTGATCACAGTCGCCGCCTGCACCTTGGGCACCTTTGGCGGGCGGGCTGTCTGCTCGGGCGCATCCCAGCGGCCTGCGTGCATCGTCCTCTGCATCGCCCAGCCGACGTACTTTGCCAGGCTCTTGTAGTGTTGCAGCTCGATGTTGTAGAACTCCTCGTACACCTTCGACACGGTGTGCTGCATGGCTCCTTGCCGAGCGAACCAGTCGGCCCACATGTTGCCAGAGTACAGCAGCGGGTGGAGGCCTCGGTCCAAGTACGCATCCATGTCCTGATGCGCGGGGATCCATCTCACTTCAGGCCGCGCTGGCTGGGCACGAATCCGTCTCCACACTGTGGCATGTGCCGCTCGCGCCTCCTCTAGCTCCTGCCCCCAGTGGCTGCATTCCTTCTCCATCGACAGAAGGTCGGTGAAGACGAACTCGAGCTGCGGCCCCGCGAGCCGCAATGCCTGCAGCAGCGCGTGCCTCTCCGCGCGCCCGACCGTCTGGAGCGGCCCTGGCAGCGCCCCGAACGCCGCCCGAACAGGCAGTCCCTGGAGGGAAAGCTGCACGAAGGCCCATCCGCAGCGCCTCAGCTCGGGCATGCTGGACGCGAAGCCTGAGCCATCGGTGAAGACGGCGTTGCTGCAGGAAGCCGTGTCCGCCCCTTGGCTAGGCCAGCAGCCCCAGAACTTCACCTCGGCCTGCTCCGCGGCGGGCGGCACGAATGGCGGCATGCAGGGCAAGCACATTTGGAAGTCGGCGCTCTCGAAGCTGCCGCCCTCCTGCAGGCCTTTGTCGCACATGAAGGTGCGGATGGCCTGCATCGGCTCGGGCGGCAGCTGCTCGTCCTGCTCCTCCTCTGTGAGCGGCTGCACGAGTACCTCGCAGCCGAAAAATCTGTGCCCAGGCGAGTCGGACGGATGTCCGCAGGCCCTGCAATTCGGCGCCGCCGCCAGCCCAAGGTCGTGCTGGGCCTGTTGCGTCCAGGCCACCGTCGCCCAGTGGTGACGCAGGCTGGTGGCCGACGGGCCCTCCGCCAACGCCGCGCGCCCGTCGCCCACGCAGAGCCGCATGGCCCGCACCCAAGGCTTGACCTCGCCGTGCTGGCGGTGGTGCGCCGCGATCTGCCTCGCCTGCCAGCGTTGCACGCCGCCGGTCAGATGCATCCTGACGTCCTTCGGGCACGTGGTGAGGAGGTTGATCGCCGTATCCTGGTCGGTGACCAGGGTCGTGCTGGAGTACATGTGCCATCCGATGCGCCAGAGCGTCAGCGTGACGGAGGCGATGGGACCGCGAGCCCCTGCCCAGGACGGGCGCCCCACGAGCCGCTCCGTGACCTTGGCCCAGGCCCTGTGGAGCCTAGCCAGGGAGGTGCGTTGTTCCCAGATCCAGCTGGCGTATCGGCAAACGATGTCGCAGGTGGCGCCGTAGATGGGGTCGTACTCGCGCGCCTTCTGCGTGGCTAAATACACCGTGACGCTCGATGCACCTGGCCGAGCCCCTGCAAGCCTGCCAGCCTCGGCCCTCAGCACCTGCAGCGTATCGTCGGTGAGCCCTGACACCCCAGCACCGTGCGCCGCACTCGGCATGAGGCCCGTCTTCCACAGGCAGGTAGCGCGCCTGCCCACTGCCCCTTTGAAAGCTGCCAACTTGCCGCGCCGCTCCTTGAGCTGCCGCACCCGCTTTGCCGTCTGGAGCCTAGCGATTCTGCGCCCGCCCAGATCGTGCCCCAGGTTGCGGGCCCAGCGCATCTTGGTCAGCTTGCGGGCCGCCGCGTGTCGGGCACACTCGCGAGCAGCCGCGTCCGATGAGACCAAGTAGCCCGACTTGGTGGGCTGCACGACAATGCCTCGCTCCTGGGCGCCCTCGCGGAACCTGGTGGTGGCCGCCCAAAGCACGCCCAGTTGCGAGAGCCGCCTCCCGCGCCACTGCAAGGTGACGTCGTCGATGAGGGCCCTCGGGGTGACGCCTGCATCTCGCACCTGCTCGAGCAGCCTGAACATGAGCAAGGTGACCATGGCACAGGCGTGAGTGCATCCTGCGAGCACGCCCTGATGTGACACGACCGCGTAGGACACCGAGCCGAAAGCTTGCAGCCGCCTCGGCTGCCTGTATAGCTCAATCAACATCCAGACCAACCGCAGCGGCATGCCCAGCAGCCGCGCCTCGATGAGTAGCCACTCGGGCTTAATCGTCTCAAAGAACTTCCAGGCGTCCAGCATGACGATTACGACGTGCTCGTCCAGGCAGTCCGATACCTCCGTCTCAAGGTTGAGGTCGAAGGCGGAGTCGGAGGAAGATCTGCCGCCGCCCATGCCCCAAATACTGGCATTGGGGTGCGCCGTCAGCCACGCCTTGGACGTCGAGGCACGAGCCCTCGACCACCATCGGATTAGCGAGTGCATCAGCGTGATCAGCCTGCAGCCGCCAGAGGCCTTGGGGATGCGGCACATAGCGTGCCACAGCCTTTCGCTGGGCCAAGCCCCCAGCGCCTCGCACTTCATGAAGAGCTGGCCGCAGGTGTAAACGCCGTCGTCCGTGAGAAAGGTGAGCGCGCGCATACCGATCTGCGCTGGGCCGAGCGCCGTGGTGGTGGGGAAGCTGCAGGCGGCCCGCTGCAGCGCCTCCACGGTGAGGTCTTCGAGGTCGTCCCATTCGTCGAAGTCAGCTGGCCTTTCCAGCGCCTCGAGCTTGTGGCACGACCAGACGTCCTCCCAGGCCTTCATCTCCCGGTCGCAGATCAGGTGCTGGCTGGCGACCTGCTGCTGCGGGACGAAGGTCTGGGCGAGCCGTCCAGTGGTGAGCTCGGTGTGGGTGCCCTGCCATTGCGCCAGCACCTCCTGCATCGCCCGCAGCTTGGTGAAGCGGTGCGCCTTGCCAGCGCCGTTCCGCAGGCTGTCGTTGGCCCACTGGATCCAGCTCTGCTGCCTGACCTTGAGCGCGTCCGCGTGGGCGTCCTTGGCGAACTGGACGATGCGGCCCGCCTGCTCCAGGAAGTCGGTGTTGCCGATCACGCGAAAGCCCTGCTCGAAGAAGGACCTCACCCAATGCGGGAGCAGTGCCAGCGTCTTCTTGCTGTCCATAACCACGCGCCCATACTCCAAAGCCCTCGCGACGAAGTCCGCCAGCTCGTGGTACTGCTCAGGGACAAGGGAGCACTGCAGGCTGGCGGTTTGCAGCCTCCTGCTGGCCTTCGCGAGGAACGCGCTGACCCCCATGAAGTGACGCGCCCATCGGCCCGCGACCTTGGCCGCGATGACATCAGGCCCCAATCGGACACGCTGCCCTTGCGGCTTCCACTTGACTGGCGCCAGCTTGGTCGCAATGGGCCCCGCACGTCCTTCGAACCGCCTGCGCGCTTCGCCAACCTGGTCGTAGCGGTCCAACAGCTCCTGCTCCAAGGTGCTGACGACGGCGTCCCAGGCTGCTGGCAGCTCCTCGGCGCTGGTTGTGGCGCGCACCTGGGCCAAAGTGGGCGCCCAGTCCTCGACACCGCGGCTGCAGCCGATGGGCGGCACCGCTGGAATCGCCCTGGGGGCGATCGGGATCCTCACGCGCATGTCCAGGTCGGCGGCACGCAGCTCCATGTTGACAGGGAGGTGCGGGGAGGTGATGCCCAACTCATCCACTCTCGGAGCCGAGATGCGGCTGGCCAGGTTTGCACCGACCAGAAAGTAGTCCAGCACCGAGCCGCTGCCCGCCTGTGGGCGGCAGGTGTCGGCCGACGGCGCTAGCCAGAGGCCCCCCGCCTTTTCCAACTGCGCCAGGGGCAGGCAGCTGGGAGGCCCATTGAAGTCGCCGCCGACGATCCAATCGATGCCCGAGGCCGTGAGCTTCGTGAGGTAGCGAGTGAGCGCGCCGAAGATGCTTCGGTTCACGTCGTTCATGCCAACGCTGTCGACCAGGTAGGCCGACACGAAGACAATGCCGCCACGGACTCCCCAGTGCACGTGGGCGGCCACCAGTCGCCCTGGCCACAGTGTCGCCGAGGGCAGCAGCGGCGGGGCCGTGACGGGGATGTTCTTGCGGGCCAAGACCGCGACGCCGCCCGTAGTGCCCTCCGCGGAGGTGGGGCCTGCCACTGCTGGCGCCCAGATGCCCGCGAACCCGTGATCCAGCACCTCGTGCTGCAGGTCGGCGAGCTTCGCCTCGTCCCGTCGGTGATGCTCCTGGACGAGAACGACGTGCGACTCGAGGGTCTCTAGGCACGGCGCCAATGAACCCCAGGAAGTCACGTTGCTGGTAGTGATAGTGCCTTTCGCCATCGCAAGTGTGCAGGACATCGCGATGATGAGCTTAGTAAGGATTGAAGCCCCTGACGGCCAGCTCCGTGGCGCGCGCCAGCATGGCGTCGCTGGTCTCCTCTGCTGGCCCTGGCGAGAACTCCGCCATGGTCTGCCGCAGCTTCTCGGGCTCCATCGCGGCGGGATCCCAGCGCGGCGCTGCGGCTGCAGGGGCGGCGCCGCCTGCAGTGCCTGCGCCATGCGCGGCGGCGGCGGCGTCGTCTCCCTCGACGGACGCTGCAGGGGTGCGAGGGGCGCTCGCTGCCTCCGTGGCGGCGGCCCGCTCGCGCTGCCGCCGCAGCATGAGCTCCTGGAGGGGCCCGCCGAGCGCCGAGGCCAGCCGCTGCGGCAAATCGCCCGCGGTCTGCATGGTGTCGTCGGGGTGAGCGGCCAGAGCACCGCTGAGAGCCTGCGCCAGGTCGCCGAGGGTGAGGCCGCCCGTGTTCTTGATGACGTCGTGCTCCATGGACTGCCCAGGCGGACGATCCTCTGGCGCGACTGGGACCTGCTGCTGGAGTGCCGACTGCTCCGCCTGGAGGGCCACCTGCTGCGCCTTGAGCTCTCTGACACCATGCCGCTTGAGCTCCAGCTCGTCTTGCGCCTTCTTGACACGGTCCTCCGCCTCGCGCTCGGCCAGCTCCATCTTGCTGAGTTTGTCCGCCAGATTCTTCTGCCTGTGGGCCAGCGCCTGCACCCGCGCGTGGAGCGGCTTGGCGGCGAAGAGCCTGTCCTTGGCGGCGGCGAGCCTGCGCTTGAGATCCTCCCGCGGGCCCGTGGCCCAGTCGTGCTGCACGTCCTTGAGCGTGGCCAGGCCTGCCTCGCACACCTTGATCTCGCTCGCAGCCGAGGCGTCCTCGCCTGACTTGCCGTCGTCCACGTGCATGGCCGCGGCCCCGCCCTGGTCGGACTCCTGCGTACGAAGCTTCTTCCTGGCAGCGTCGAGCTCCGCCCGCATGGCCGCGAGCTCGCCCTCGAGCTTGCCCTCGGCCGTCCACGGGGCCCGCTTCTTGCCCTTGGCTGGGGCCCGCATCGAGGGCTCCTTCGGCGGCACAGGCCCGCCGTACACGTCCTTCTTGTGGAGCCTGCACCCTTGGCACTTGAGCGAGGTCCCGAAGTTGATGAGCGGCTTGCCGCGCTTCGTCGTACAGCTCCTGCAAGCCCAGTCCTGGCGTTCCTTTCGGCCGGCGCCAGCCATGGTGCTGCAGTCTGCACTTGGGATCGAGAAGGGGCTGTCGGGCTCAAGGGCCCTGGCACTGGCCGCGGACTAGCGGTATCCACTTGTTCCACTGTGGAACTAGGCATCTTGAGCCAAAATGGCTACGGAGGGGAGGAGGAGGAGGAGGAGGAGGAGGAGGAGGAGGAGGAGGAGGAGGAGGAGGAGGGGAGGAGGAGGAGGAGGAGGAGGAGAGGAGGAGGAGAAGGGTGGAGGAGGAGGAGGAGGAGGAGGAGGAGGAGGAGGGGGAGGAGGAGGAGGAGGAGGAGAGGAGGGGGAGGGGGAGGGGTAATGGGAGGGGGAGGGGGATGGGGGGAGGGTGGGGGGGTGCGAGGGCCCGCGCCGATCGGCAACACAAGAAATACAAAAACGTCCACTTGATAATGCCTGCCCGCGATGTCTTCCCCTCTGGGCTTGCAGCCGACGAGAAACCGAGTGCCCCCCGAGAAGCCCCAAGAGGCTCCAAGTCTGGGCTAAGTCTGGGCTCCGTGGCGTCCTCCACAGGACCACGGGTGAAACATCCAACCCAGGGCCCTCAAGCGATCGCCAAGAGGCCCCAATATGCCTGAAGGTGGCTCCCAGGATGCCCCCGCAGAGGCTCCCCTTGCCGATGATCTACCCAGCGACCAAGTTTCCCCGACGTGGGAGGCCATGCCACGACCAACAACTTCGCTCTACCTGCGGGCAACCATCTAAACCACCACACCCCACGTCACACAGCGGACCGCCGAGCTCCGCGAAGCGCTCGAAGACGGCGGCCCCCCTGCGGGAGCGAAGCGGGAACGGAGCGCGGCCTTGGCTTTCTCGAACTCGCGATGGCAAGGAACACTGCCAGAGAGATGGCCGCTGCTGCAAATCTCGAGGCAAGGGGACGGGCGCACCCGGGCGGCCGCGCAACCGGGCGGCCCGAGCCCGATCCTGCCGGGATTCCGCCCATTAGCGCTCCTAGATTTCTGTCGGGCGTGTCCCCCATACAGGGAGATTTTCGACGAAAAATAGAAAATACCCCCAAAATACCGCAAAAGGTCAAAAATATAAAAAAGAGTCCCCATACAATTGTTGTACATTTTTGGGTTTTTATTTTTTATTTTTCGTCGAAAATCCCCCTGTAGGGGGCCAGGCCCGACTTAATCCTAGACTGGCCGCTGCTGGCCTCGAAAGCTGGGCCTGGGCTCGCTCAGGATATCTCCAGCTCGCCATCGCTCGGACGTCCATTCCCTGTGTTTTTTGTCGGTTTGGTGCGTGGCTTTTTCGCCACATGATCAAGGATGCTCCTCGATGGCCCTCGCCGAAGGAAAAATGCACACGTCCGAGCGATGTCAAGGATGCCCTGGTCTCTTCCAACCTTCCCTATGGCCCGCTCCCTGGCGCGCGGAGCGCACCAGGCGCGGCGCCGGAGGCGCCGATCCAAGAAGTCCGCGCGGAGCTCCGAGGATTTTACGTTTATACCCTGCTCCTCGAGGTGCCCTCTCCTCTTCTGAGGCACCCTCTCTCCTGAGCTCCGAGGATTTTATGTTTATACCCTGTTCCTCGAGGTACCTCTCCTCGAGGTACCCTCTCCTCGAGGTACCCTCTCCTCGAGGTACCCTCTCCGCGTGTCGGCCCTGTTCCTCGAGGTACCCTCTCCTCCTCTGAGCCCTGCCCCCCGGCAGCAGCGCCGCTCGGCCGAGAGCGTGGCGGGAGAGAGGCCTCGGCGCCCGCGGGCGGCCGGCCGCGGTCCTCTGGCGAGTAGTCGAACACGGCCTTCTGCTGCGTCCTGGCGGCGGTGCGTCTCGTCGGCGACGAAGGGGAACAGGAGGAGGAGGGGGAGGGGGAGGAGACGGAGGGAGGGGGGATGGGGGGGGGGAGGGAAGAGGAGGAGGAGGAGGAGGATGGTCGTCGTCGAGCGCATCTTGGCTTACCCGACTCCGCGCTCTGAGCTTCGGCGCGCCCTACATACGAAGCATTGCAGCAAACGCGCGCAAGGAAGGAATCAAACACGGCAGGACTGCTCCGCAAGCGCGCAGGACCGTTCGGCAAACGCCACTTGTGGGGGTGCCCCGCGTGCTGTGGCGGAGACAGTGCAAGGGATCTGCTCTGTTTGCCAGAGGACCGCCAACATGGATCCTGACTTGAGAAGCGGGCCACGGCGAGGATGAGCCTCTCACGCTGACCTGCTCCTCGCGCGCGGGAAGGTCAGATCATCATACGGCTCGACGCGGGGGGATGGCGAGGACAAGGACCCAGCACGGCGTGCTGTGGCGGAAACGCCCCGCCACGCGCCAAATGCAACGTGGCGTCGGCGGGGCAAAGCACGAGATGTCGGGAGGTGGGGGGCGGGCGGCGCGGGGGCGACGTGAGCGCCCTGGCAAGGCAGAAGACGTGCCGAACTCAGCGCGTCCCGGCGCGCTCAGAGCAGGCCTCGGCGGCCAGAGGGGGGGGGAGAATAAGGGGCCCTGGGACACACAAATAAATAGACACAAATAACAAGAGTCCCCACATTTCCCTATATGTTCGGGGTCTTGCGTCTTCCCTCCCAACTCCCACATTCTCCCATATGTTCTGGGGAATCGACGATCACTTGTGTCTGTGTGTGTGTGTGTTTGCTTCCCTCCCGAAAGAAGGGGGGGCGGCGAGAGGCGGCGGAGGGGCAGCGAGGCAGAGGGGCGGGGGCGCACGGACGAGGGCGGCCAAACGGGAGCGCGCTCGGGAGAGCGGGAGCGGTGGCAGGGGCGGGGGGGGTGCAGCCACCGCGCGCTCTCGTGGGGAACGCTCAGCGGCCGGCGGCGAGCGCGGGGTGGGACTCTGGTCGGGAGGAGGCCTTCGCAGCCGGCGGCGAGCGCGGGGTGGGACACTGGTCGGGAGGAGGCCTTCGTAGCAAGCGGCGGGGGTGCGGCCACTTTGGACGCCCGAGATGGGTACGGAAAGAGTGGGTGCAATGCCCAACGACACACGTTGTCCTAAGCCAACAGCGGCCGCTGTTGGGCAGGCGGCCTCCTGTCTCAAACGGACACAGCCGCGGCGGCGCGGACAGAGAGTCCTGTTCAAAATGAGCAGGAACTGCTGTTGGGCATTGTACCCATCCTTTCAGTGCCCATTTCGTTCGTGCAGAGCCACAGCGTGCTCCCAGGAGGAACGTTCCGTGGCCGGCGGCGAGCGAGGGTGGGACACTGGTCGGGAGGAGGCCTTCGCAGCAGGCGGCGGGACTCTTCATCAGAAGCCCTCGCGCCTTCCGAGAAGCTTCTCGCGTCTTCGGGGGAGGCTCCAAAGACTTCTCAGGAGGCTAGCGGGGACCTCCGAGCCTCAGGCGGCGAGGGAGGGGGGGAAGTGAGACGGCGGAGGCCTCCGCAACAGGCGGCGGGACTTCTCGGAAGCCCTCGCGCCCTTGCGCCTTCCGAGAAGCGCCTCGCGTCTTCGGGGAAGGCCTCGAACACGTCTCGGAAGGCTAAGGTTAGGTCGGGCTTGTCCCCCTACAGGGGGATTTTGGACGAAAACTTGAAAATACAACAAACATACTCAAAAGATGACCAACAGTACTAACAAATAGTCCCCAGACTATGTTTGGACCATTTTTTAACATCCCCCCTGTAGAGGGACAGGCCCGCCTTACGGCTAAGGGGACGTCCGAGCCTTCTGAGAAGGGTTTATTCCAATATCGTTGATGACTCTTGGGTTTACACTGGTCTTCCTCCTCCCCCACCTCCTCCTCCTCCTCCTCCTCCTCCTCCTCCTTCTCCTCCCCCTCCTCCTCCTCCTCCTCCTCCTCCTCCTCCTCCTCCTCCTCCTCCTC